GGCTATAGGCAAGATCATTCCTCTTAATTGTCTTCTTTAACAAGGCTTTTCCTGTCAGGTAGGCAGGAGCATAGGTTTGATATGAAAGCCCCCTCTGCAGAAAGCTTTTTATGTAATGAATCATCACATGGTGCATTAAGCGAGTTGTTCTGAAAAGCATTTTCACAAAACAATGGTGATTTTGTTGGTCCAAAAATATTTATTTCCTTATTCCAAAAATTAATCTGTTGGGACTGTTCCAGCCCAGTTCAGAAGAAAGGCAATGTGAGGCAAGGCTTACTCCTATCCTTCTCACCCACCAATTATGTATTCATGGCACTGTCTAAATGTGTAATAAGATGAATTTGAATTTTGGGGGGAAATGCTTGATTTCAAATTCAAATAGCCAGAAACTATTTGAGATACAATATAAATTTTAACATATACTGTTAATTCAATATATTAAGGCAAACACATGATACTACCTTATGAAATAAAATCTCATATTTTATACCAATACTTACACAAATACAATACTTCAGTGTTGAGTTTAAAGTCTAAAAGTGTTATATGTGGAATGCGTGAATTCTCATATACTTTCCCAGTTCCATTCCCCCACCGCCTTGGACATCTCCTTCCTGAGACCAACTGGCTTTCTCAAGAGCAGACCGACCCAAATAAAATGTACTGTACTAAATATGATAGTCACCATGAACAGTCCCTTCATATCTTCTGCTTCTGGGACAAAAAGTGCTTGTCACACATAAGCCATTACCCTAATGAGAGCTTTTCACTTGTGCTTTGAGGTAGTGCCTTTGTCCCTGCTGTATTCTGCAGAAGCATTATCCAGGATCAATGTATTATCTGGGTGTTAGTCTTCCTCAGGTTAAGAGTCCTCCATGGATAACAAACCCTTTAATTAAAGCAACCACACACCTTCCTGCTTCCCATTTCCCTTTCCTGCACACAAAGTAACTCTAGTTGAGCATAAAATCTAGAGGTCACTAGCCAGGGCTTTTTGTGGCATACAGCCAAAGCACTTGAGACCCATTAACAACAATGTAGAAATCCCTGAATATCTTCTTGAAAGGATGAAGATGTTGGATGATGAATCGATCTTCTACGGAGCTTGAGAAATAGGAAGCAGGTGCCTCAAACCTAGGAAGTATTAGAAAGAAATGTATGAAAGCACAACTCTGTCTCCCCTGGCCCCACAAGTTGTCACTGAAGTATAAGTTACAACTGATACAACTAATAAATAAGTTGGAAGTATTAGTATCAGCACATTTGGAGAATTGGAGGGGAAAATACTAATGAAAAATAAGCTTTAATCTTTTGAATTTACTAGGTTGTCTTATTCAAACAATTCTCAACGTTTATCCCATCCTGTGCAGCATAGATATAATAAAGTCTATCACATAGGTGTGAAGTTCAGAAGATGACTTAATTGTGTTTGAACTTTACCCCTCTATCTTCACCTTTCTGTATGCATCATAGATCATATTCATGAACTAGGTTGTAGAAATATGAGATCCAACTCTGGCCGAAGGCATTCCTTCGAATGCCAACCTGATAATAGTCATGGCAATGCTTTACAAGTTGACAATAGGTTTCTTACCAGATATTCTGGGATATGTAAATTGTTGCAGTGTAGGATGAGTTGGGATTCACATTTGCCATAAGATTCAATTCTGTTCCCAATACAGCAACTTGAAAAATACTCTGCTTCACTTCAAAGCAATTTGGTAGCCACCCAAATCTTAGTTGGAAATCAAAAAGTTTTCATCCTATTTCTGCTAACTAGAAATTAACAAATGATTATAAGCCTTTTTTTCTGTTTGATAGAATTTGATTATACTCAAAGGCAAGAAAGAAAAGTAATTTCTAAAGAAAATTAATTTTTCTGAGATATCAGAGAAATTAATAATATACTGAAACATAAATATTTACATTTTTATTTGTTTTGAAAAAAGAACTATTAATAACTGTTCTTTGTGAGTACTCGGGCATATACTTATAGGAGATGACTTTTTAAAGTTTCAGATGATAAAAGTACAGATCATTTAGTGCAAATACTGTGGTTACAATTGTGGGAGTGATTCCCAAACCAATGAGCATAATCACATGATGTAAATGAAATGTAATAATAGTTATCTAAGTTTGCTCTGGCTCTGTTCATTTTTCAGGTACTACTTCCAATATGACATTCAAATGAGAAGTGTGTCAGGCCTGTAGCCATGTTCCTTTTGGATCTTTGGCCTACCACACTTCTATTCTACTATTCTGTTTCTATAGTGGGAAAATGGGAGGGGGGATAGTGCAGAGTAGAATGTTGTGTAGCCAAAGTAAAATTCCTTTCTAGAGTGCCAAGATCATCCTTTATTTTGGTACCTCTGCACCTGGCCGGAACTGGATGGGTGGAACTGCCAGCATGGCAGTGGAAGATTGGGCCTTGTAATGGACTTGTGGGTGTGGGGGCAGGATCTTGAACTTTAACTTGGGGGGAAAAACGGAAGAAGCTCTAGATTCGGGTTTCCCCCAGATATGTCAGCATGGCTCTCTTAATAAATTGGAACTTTGAGCAGAACGTTGCCTTGGACTCTGATTTAATTTTGGATGTTATTTGGAACGCTGATGAAGTGTGAGCCACAGATTTGAAAAAGGTGTTAGCCCCCTTTATTTTACACTTCTGTTTAATTATTGCAAAAAAAGACAGTTGCATTTTTTAAAATGTGAACTTTCTAAAATCCAATTGGTAGTAGGATCATAACTGCAATAGAATTAGTGTGCAATGACAGGGGCAGGATTTTTTTCTGAATAAAATCTTATGAAGATGTCACAAATTCTATTACAGCTCTCAATACTCCTGCAAAGGGCAGGAATAGGGAAAAGGAAAAGGGCCTAGCAAAGGGCATTTAGTCTCAAACAAATCACATCAATATCCTTGTCTCATAGTATTTGATTGGGCAATCCTCATGAAACTCTTCACTATGATCTGTTTACTATTTGTTCTCTATGATAGACACACATGTGCACACTTTTTTAAAAAATGACAAGTTGATGAAGAAATCCTCTACACAATCCGGAGAGTGGCTCAGATTACCTATGGTTTAACAAAGCAAAGTGCAATTCACACAAAGACAGGTTCTTTTATCAACAGTGAAACATTGTCACAATTGGGGGAACAGCCTGTTCTGAATAGGATTTCGTTCCTTCTGAAAGCTGAGGACTATAGTTTGGAACTACCTTCTGAATCAAACATAATTCATGGATATTCAAATGGGTATTACAGCTAGGAATATTTTTGTAGCTTTGGTTAAAATACCTGGTATATTTCTTTCTGAAGAAAATGACCTGGTCAAATTCTTAATCAACTTCCATTTAGATGAATGAATTGTCTACAATTTCTTTGCCCTAATGGGCAGGTTTAGAAATCAGAGAACATTTTGCAGAATGCATTTCAGGAGGGCAGGATCTGCTTAAAGCAGTGTTTTTCAACCTTTTTTGTGCAAAGGCACACTTTTTTCATGAAAAAAATCACGAGGCACACCACCATTAGAAAATGTTAAAAAATTTTAACTCTCTGCCTATATTGACTATATATAAAGTAATTTTCCCATGGCACACCTTACACTATGTCACGGCACACTAGTGTGCCGCGGCACAGTGGTTGAAAAACACTGGCTTAAAGCACTGCTGTCTTAGCAGAAAACCTGTTATGTATTTCTAAACAAAAGTTTACCAATCCATCAAGCTAATAGGACCTCATCTGCAGTTCAAAAAAACTTACCTCCCGATTTGTTTAAATGTTTTAATGCAAATACCACTATTCCCAAACTAGATATGGGGAAGGCGGGTATTGTGTTGCAGTCTGACATTAAAACGTTGCTTTAAAATAGTTTCAATGATAGCATTTGTAATAGTCTGATAAGCCCAACATCCAGAAATACTTTTATAAGTAAATAATAGAAAATGATTAAATATGCTAGAAAGTGAAAATACCCCTCTACCTAGCCTTTCCCCTAGGCTGGCTTAAGGCTAATAACAACTCCTTGGGGACTAGGATTGCTTTCATTGCCCCCTTTCCTCAGATTCCCAACTTTTTTAAATGTTTCATAGCATTATGAGGACCCAGATTGATGGAGGCAATGTGCTGACTCTAAACTGTTTAGATAGTATTGCAAAGCACTGTGAAGTGGTATATAAGTCCTATTGTGCTATGAGTGCTATTGCTATTGCTATTCTTTATGGGATGTGATAGTGCTATGTCTGAAGGCTGAACTTGACACAGTAGAGATAATATGCCTCAGACTAATGCTCGAGTGCAGAGACATGGCACTCTGCTACATGAAGCATTTGGTGAAGCTATGTTTTGACCAGGTGCCTCACCTCAAAGGATGGGACTTTTTTGCTGCAAATGCAGAGAAGTCACTATTTTGGAACCTACTAGTGGGTTCGGTTGAAATTTGTGTTCAATCCAGAGCTTTTCTTAATGACCCACTCTTTCCAAATTATTGCACCCCTCAGCTGTGGACTTTTTGTAATATTCATAGTTTAGTAAATGTGTTGAGAAGTCCAATTAGGTCTGGTTGTTTCTATCTGAAATTGGAAAATGGGATGACACAAGTTAATTGCCACAAGTTTATTTTTATATGTGATGTTGGAATTAATTAGGTTAACTTTCCATTTCTGTTCAACTTTTGAATTATTGTCATACACAGTTCACTACCATTACTTTTTTCTAACTAAGAAGCCATTTTTCTTTTTGGCTTTCTTACAATCTTAAAATTAGCCTACTCCACATTATTCCAAATGTAATTATAGACTTGATTTTGGGAACAGTGATACGGTGCTGACAATTTTATTTTCATTTCATTTCTTAATAAATGCCCGGTTTAGCAAAGGGGGGGGGGAATCCTAATATGTCATGTGATGCCACGAATTTGACACCCCTGCTCTAGAGTTTAGAGAAATCATTGACAATAATCTAGCTGGAAAATAACTAGTACTGCTGATTACAGGTGCCTACTATGGAGAACATTTATAGATTGCAGAAAAGACGAAGAGAGTTGGAGGACCAAACCCATCACAGTGCAACAACAGATTCAGAATTGGCAGAGTTGGAAGACAAAGTGGCTTTTCCTGTGGCTGAAGTACAACACAGAGAGACTGAGGTAAATCCCTGTTGTCTTTTCTTAAAAGGCTGCTTGGGTTGATTTCTAAGCAAGAATTCCCCAGAAAATTACCCCATACAGAAACTGAACCCATAGAATAGTTTTAAATATTTTAACCATAGTTGAAATGTGCCTACCTAAACCTTTTCATGAGCCTAAAAAACTATATTTCTTTACATTGTTCAGATAAATGATAGCTACAATCTTTCTGATCACTAATATTCTATCAGTGTTTCAGATAACTCTCATCTACCTAATACATAGTAAACAATGTTGAATGGGTTAATTGGGATATATAATACAACCTTATTGGACTTTCCTGGGCTACCGGTAGATAGCCATATATTTTCATATAAATTGACCAAAGTGTTTTTTACAATGACTCGATAAAAAGAAGGCATTTATTAATAGAATAGAAGCAACTTTGGTCTAAGATTATAAAAGGAGATTAAAATAAAATGCAATTTCTTAAACCCAGAAAAATAACATACAATCACTTTCCTTTCTTAATATATTTCTCTTAATTAAGAGAGAAGATAAGTCACATTAGGAATTGATCTTACCTAAACTTTATTCTGCAGGCTATCTCAGCACAGCTAAGGCAAAGTAATTTTGCCTCAAAAATCTGGGAATCAATGAAGGCAGAGAATAATTGGTTCAGAGAAAAGTACATTTTCTTTTTCGCTGCTAGGACTTGACTTGTACACTGTAGTGAAATCAGGGTGCAGGCTGTTAAAAAAAGCCTGAGAAAGTTTGGAAAGCTATAGTCACGTTACATAAAGCATGACATGCTTGTTCCATTTATTATTATCTATAGCACTTAAATAATTGAAGACGGTTATCACCAGATTCCAGTTCATTAGCATGTTGAATGCCAAATGAAATAGTGCTATTGCTGCACTGACTTAAATTAGGGATAGATGTTTGCCTCTCCGCGTGTGTATATATAGTATAACCATGTATTGGCTGTATGCTAGGAAAAAGTCCAGTTGCCTTTATGATGGAATAATGTGCTACTTCCTATAAAGGTGTCTGATATAGAATCTCGAATCGCTGCACTGAGTGCTGCTGGGTTGAGAGTTAAACCAGTGGAAAGGCCTAAGGAAAAAAGAAGCATCCAGGTGAGCATACCTGAATTTTACAAAAAAAAAAAAAAAAAAGCAATGATGTGCCTTAATGAAATTGTATGGTCTCTGAATTCAAGTTTACAATTATAAAAAGTTGAGGAGATACGAATACTGCCCCCCTAAGCAAAGCTGGAATTCTAATTACTCTTAATAGGCAGCAAATCTCATTTGTTGATTGTATTATTTGATTATTTCTGTGTTTGTTATCTGGTATCTATATGTTGAGGATATAATAAAGGAAGAATGCCCCAGACTCTGCTCTTTCTTGGTCTTTAGTTTGCCTTTTTAATAGTTTGTAGACTAGCTCTTTTTTTTTCCTGTGTATCTGATCTGTTAGAATGCCAGGCCTCTAGGAACTCCCTTATATTTTTGGATTTCACTTGATCTAAAATGGCTATAGTTGACTTGGTGGTTAAATTGGTCCATGTATCCAGTAAAATATTTCCAGCATGTCTTCTGGCTGCCAACTAAGTGTGTTCTATAACCCCTTGCCTGTTTGTCCTATACAGTAACTTTCACAGTCAGCGCATTCTATGTTGTAAATAATTTCACTTCATATTTGTGATATCCTACTGCTTACTTCCCTCCATATAGACATAGTACTATTAAGGACTACTTGTTGAGTATAGTTTCTCAGCCAATTACAAATCCATCTGATGGTGATGCTATCTATCCCATTTTTTTCCAACTTACCAGTACCAAGAAGTATATTGTTGTCTACTTTGTTGAATGCCTTGCAGAAGACTAAATATACTATATTCACACCATTTCACTGGTTCACTAATTTGGTCACTATGTTGAAGAATGAAATAAGATTGATTTAGCATGATCTGTTTCATCTTTACAGATTCTGGCTATCTGCTGATATTCTGCCTTAGTTATGTGCCCCTCTTTTCATTTTTTTGTACTTGTCCTTTTTGTCTTTCAATTTATCAGGGAGATCTTTGTGCAACTATGATGGCTTCTTCTTGGATTTCTTGCTTTTCTTTTCAGTGGTACTATGCTGGACTGGGATTTTATGATCATATTTTTCCCAACCTTCTTAAGTTGTTTCCCCTTTAAGATTTTCATCCAAGGAATCTTTCCCAAGTTCTCTTAGCTCTTTTAAAATCTAAGACTCTGCTTTCTTTATGTTCTATTGCTTGTGTTTGCATTACGTTGAATTCCAGTTTCACATGGTCACTCTCACTCAAGGTTCCTGCAGTTTCAGCTCTATCATTTCTTCTCTGTTCATAAGAATGAATTCCAGTATGGCTGTCTCTCTAGTTCCCTCCTCTACCTTTTGGACAACAAGGTTGTCATCTAAGGTTAGTCAGGAACCTATTCAATTTCTCACAGTGCTGAATTAGTCTTCCAGTTGATGTCAGGGTAATTGAAATACCCCATTATTTTGATAGTGTGTTTCCTACATTTATCTGTTGATTGGTTAGCAAAAAGTACATCTATGTTTTCTGCTTAGTTGGGTGGCCTGTCATGGCAATATCATTCTTTTTTTCTTTTATATTGACCCATATGCATTCTAGGAGGTTTTCGTCTTTGGCTTCGTGCATTTCTGTAGCAATACAGTGGTCCTTTACATACAGTGCAATGCCATCTCCTCTTTTATGGGGTCTGGTTTTTTTTACAATTTGTATCCTATCAGTATGTTCTAGTCATGGGTTTCATCCCACCAAGTTTCTGTAATTGCAACTATATCACATCTTCCTTCATATATTAATAATTTGAGTTCACCCTGTTTGTTCCCCAAATTTTGTGCATTTGTATGTAGGCACTTTAGATCTTTATGTCCAACTCTGGATATGCTTCCTACTATTCCTATTTGGTGTTTGAGTTTGTCTTCCTTCCCATCCCCTCCTTGCCTCTTTATTTGACTTTCGGAGGGGAGGTGGAATTAGTTCCTGGAGATTCTAAAGATTGGTCACCTCCCCCCCGCCCCAATTTTAGTTTAAAGCCAACCTGATAAGTTGAGCTAGTCATTTTCTAAAAACATTCTTCCCAGTCTTTGTGAGGTACAGCCCATCCCTTGCCAAAAGGCCATCATGGATATAGTGCAGACCATGGTCCAGGAATCCAAAGGTTTTTTTTGTGACACCAACCCTTTAGCCAGTGGTTCACTTCTAGAATCCTCCTTTCTCTTACTGGCTGTTGACCTTTCATTGACAGTACAGATGAAAAAACTACTTGTGCACCTAACTCTTTAACTTTCTTGCCTAGCTGCTTGTAATCACTCACTATTGTTTTCAAGGTTTTTTTTGTCATTCATCCCTACGTGTAGTAGTAGAAAAGGGTAGTAATATGTGAGTTTTATTATTTTGGTTAGGTTCTCAGCCACATCTTTGATTTTTGCTCTAGGGAGACAACATAACTTTCTGAGTTAACTGTCTGTTCTATAGGCAGCTGGTTCTGTTCCCATGAAAATTGAATCTCCTATTATCAACATTCACTTTTTTTTTCTTAGGGAGGTTTGGAATATTTTTATACCTATCACAGAAGCACTTTATGGTGCAACTTTTTTAGGGGCATTTGATGTTGCTTCTTTTCTAGGTGTCTGCATGTTTACTTCCAGAGAGATGTAAGCATCTTTGTTGTTCAATAGTTCGTTAGGCTTTTTTTAATCTGTTGTATTCTATCCATGAGAACTGTCATTCAGCCTGTGTCTGCTGGTTTTTGGTCCTTCTGTAATATTTTTTATAGCTAGAGAAGGGCAGTTTGCTTTAAGATCATTCTGCTTTTGTGTTGCTTTGGTCAGAGGTAGGATTTTGGATACATTTTCTTGGATCTCATTTGAGAGTTTAGATATTCTGAATACTGTTTCTAATGCTGTGAAGAATTTACAGCAAACATATATATGCCCTGGGGAATGACAACACTATGAATTCAGGAGAGATTGGAGCAGAAGGAGGAATTCAAACCACTGAGTAACCTGTACTTAAAGGCAAAGGAGATGGAGAAGAGTCCTGGCAGATGGAAGGTTTCATGGGTAAAAATAAAATCAGTTAGCATAAATTGATCTGAAGCACTTTTTAAAGAGCACAATAATGTTACTGCTAATAACTCCAAAATGGATCATTTCTGATCCATGAATCTTAAACCATTACATATAATGTACTGTAGCAATCTATATATATAAAAGCGAAATACCACTCACACAGCATTACGAAATCTCCAGAACCGTAAAGCCTACACACTTGAAATTTGTCACATATGTTCCTGCTATAGAGGACTCCAACTTTCCTGATATAGTATCACCAGGTGATTGGAAAGTATGTGCAAGAAATGGTTTCTAGGTGCTCGCTAAGAAATGATTTTTCAAAATGACCATCAGATCATTAGCATTTCTTATATTATTATTAACATGCTCTGATGCTAAGGAGTTAGACATTCTACTTCCCCCTCCCCACCTGAAAAATGCTCTGAATCTGATGCTAAGGAGTTAGACTGAGGGAGAGAAGGGGTTAAGATAGGAGAGGCCTCTGTGGGGCAAGACTGAAGGAGAGAAGGGGATAAAATAGGAGAGGATCAATGGGGCCAGCCTGAGGGAGAGAAGGAAGATAGGAGAGGCTTCTGAGGGACAAACCTGAGAGAGAGAAGGAGGATAGGAGAGGATCAATGGGGCCAGCCTGAGGGAAAGAAGGGGGTAGGAGAAGATCCATATGGCCAGCCTGAGGGAGAGAAGGGGAATAGGAAAGGAGAGGCTTCTATGAGGCAAACCTGAGGGAGAGGAGAGGAGTGGCCGATTATAACTACTCATTAATTTTCAAGATGTAAATGTGGGTTTAGCAAGCCCAATCACATAATTTCGTAGCAGAGCCCGGGTATCCAGCTAGTTACTAAATAAAGTCCACTAGTAAAAATTTGTCACTGAACTGAACAGCAGAGAAAATTGGAAAGTAAAGAGATTAGATAAAGGGTCCAATTAATTCTATAGAGCAGGAGTCTCCAACGTTGGCAACTTTAAGACTTGTGGACTTTAATTCCCAGAATTCCTCAGCCAGCATCGCTGGCTGAGGAATTCTGGGAATTGAAGTCCACATGTCTTAAAGTTGCCAAGGTTGGAGACCCCCGCTATAGAGGACTCAAACTTTCCTGATACAGTATCACCAGGTGATTGGAAAGTATGCACATACTGATTGGAAAGTATGTGCAAGAAATGGCAACGATGGAAACTATAATTTAAATGCTCATTGACATTTAGCCAAAGAAGATTTTCCCCAATTTTAAAATCTAATCTTGGATGACTTCAAGACAAGACACAAGCACATTTCTTCCAAGGTTTGTTTTTTTGAAAAAAATACTTTACTTGCTCTGAAATCTACAATGATTGCCTAGTTAATTTTGAAGATATCATCATAAAGGTTTAAACTCAGATAACCATAGCTTTTGCCATTTAAAAAATTCCATTGCATGATTTTTCCAACATCACCAGCAGCCAATGATAGTAGTGAAAATGCTGATCATGTATGCCAATAGACCGTACTTAATTAAGACTACATACTTAAAATATAGATGGAAAAATAACATTTACCAAATAAAATTCACAAAAGATCAAAGCAAAAATCTTGCCTGTTTTAAATTTGTACATACTTCTACATGATATTAAAGCTGGAGAAGCAGAAACAAATCTCTGAAGCTGGGATCTACAAATGTTCTAGAAATTCAAATACTTTTAAAACCTCTCTTTCAATACTTATTGATGGTGCTTAGTGGTAGACATGATCCTGTAGTCCTCATAAATATTTCTCTTGGCCTTTCTGGTATGACATTAATGACTGCATATTGCAAATGATATTTTGATGCAAACAATTAGTTAAATGCTGTACAGTTGGAGAGTTGTGGGGAGAAACAGGATGTTCAGCTTCTTTAAAAAAAATAATCCAAATAGAAGAAATATTTTACTAAACTTCATTTATTTAATGAATTAATCCAGGCAAATGAGTACATCAGCCAAATAGTTGAATTATCCACAAAATAAATGAGCGGACTGACATTTATTTGTGGGCCAAAATGCTGTTCTGATGAAGAAAGTTGCAATGAGGGAAAATACAGCCAACCCTTATTTCCATGTTAACAAAATTTTATTCTTTTTAGGTCATGTCTGTGCCCCATGTGTTGAGGAAGAAATTCAGTATTTCCCATGAAACTGCAAGTAAGACCTTTGCTCATTTATGCAAGGAGGAAAATGCTCAGTTGATTGGCAGCCTCTGCTTAATAATAGTTACTTGATTAAAAGCAGAGTTACTTTCTGCATATGTGCATACCTGGAATGTATGGATCAATTTCACAATGTCATTTTCATACATATCCAGCTATTACTCTGCCAGAGTTTCTGCATCATGCTGAAAGGGTCTTGAAGACAATTCTTTTATTTCAGTTATCCTCCACTCTGCTGCCACTCACCCCTGTCTCAATCTGCTGCCCCCAACTGACCTCTGCTGTTTTCTTCCTCCTGTTGCTGAGGCCCGACTGGCAGAAGACGCTGCTGGACCTTTGCATGGCCTCAACATCAGTGGGAGAAAAAACACTTGGGGGCTGGTGGGGAGCAGCAGGGAGTAGATGGCAGTGGTAGAATGCAGGGCAACTGAAAGGGTAGAGTTGGCGAGGGGGAGTCAAGCAACCTCTGTGATCATAAATGTGGGCAGGCTTCCAAGTGCCCAAATTTGAATCACGTGACTACAGGGACTCTGCAACAATCATAATTTAATTCAGTGCTGTTATAATTTTGGTCGTTAATCAAGTGGTCATTAAGTGAGGACTTTTTGTTCTTCCAGGTGTATTTTCAACGGATATTAATATTTAAGTAGAAAGTTATACAAATACTCTTTCAGCAACATTTGCAGTAATGACAGGGATGAAAAAGTAACTTTGCAGTCAGAATTCACATTTATAATCTTTGCAGGCCCGGAAAGGATAGCTGAAGAAAATCATAATCACACTTGCAGTTTCATTCAGCAACTGCTTCACTTGACCAAATCACCTTGTCCCAGCTGTGGTGTTAAATGAGGACTACCTATATATAAAAGACAACCTCATAGATTATTATATATAATTATAAGGACCTGCCTCAGCTAATCAGGACTCTTGAATTCATCAAGTTGAATCAAAAGAACTTTTGCTGAGAAAAAAGTGATTGCAGGAGAGCAAGGCAAAATCTGAAAAAGCCTGTGCAAAGCAAACAGCATTCTTTCGTTTCCCAAAACTCAACCCCCTGACCACCAGCTGTCCAGCTAGTGAGTCCAAATCAGGAATTCTTGGGTCATTGTTCTTCCCAAAAAGGAAACATTATTGAATACACTATATTGGCACAGTAGTAGTGAAACTAACTCTAAAATTCCCATGTGAAAACCCACATAGTTAAACTTGATTTTCCCTGTTGGCCATCCTGCTCAGTTCATTATGAGGTCCAATCAAGTTCCTCTTGTTATGAGAACAACCTGATCTTGGTGGCAGCAGGGTCTCATGTTCTTCAAACGGGTTAGAGTTGGCATTCCATTCTCCCCCACCCCAGAAATTCCAACCACTCCCCTCCTAATTGTTGTCAAGAAGAGAGCGAAGAAGTAACTGGATGAAAGAGTGATCTATTCTTGACATGCCAACCCCCAGGAAAAGGGATACATCTGTAACACATGTAAACATACATAATCAAGAGCAATCTCCCCATTGTACAAAGTATTCATTTAACTTTGGCCAGTTAGGGTATCTAGAATGAAAGCTCTTTTACCAGCCTCGCTACTCTTAACATCTGTTGCTGCTATCCACTCTGCATCTGCTATGGGTTAGCCTTTCCTGCACAAGGTACTGCAATTTCCTCCTATGGGGTCTAGAATCCAGGAATGTCCTTAATTTTGTAATGCTCTTCCTCTTTATGAGGACTTGGGGCAGAGGGAGCACCCCAACCGGCTTCAGTTTAGAATCATGTAAGTGTTTTAACAGGCTACAATGAAACATTGGGTGGATCCGCCTAAGACTTCTTGGCATCTGAAGTTCCTGGTTAATAATCTGCACAATGAGAAATAGCCCTATATATAGCCCTAAATAGCCCAACCAACTTCTTTCAGGGTTGTCTTAAGTTTAAATATTTTTTGGATAGGTACATTTTTATCACTCATCTTAAATGCTCTTTGCAGAGCCCTCTTTCAGTCTGTTTTGTATGGCCCTCCCTTGTTTTCTCCAGTGCCCTGTGCACCATAACCCATATGCCTCTCAGAGTGGCCAACCACTCCGCTAATGTTGCTAAGGATGGAGTTTCCTGGGGAAGCTCCAGCATGGCTTCGAATTTAACCTCCGTTGCCACTTTGAAAGGGGTAAATCCAGTGCTACTATGTCACCTCAGGAAATGTCAGCAGCTCAGCCCAATTAGTCTGCTAATAGTTTATATAGCATCTTAAGTATTGTTCCACCATAGTTAGCTCACTCTGTCGCTCCACTAGTGCTAGGATGGAAGGCAGAGAGGAACCTATCAAGTTCAAAAACTCCTGCCAAAATTTTGCAGTGAATTAGTAGAACTGAACAAACAGTTTTGCTAGGGTCCAGACTGAAAGAAGTTTCAGGTACAGTATGAAATGCACCTGATTTGAAAACTGGTCAACCACAGTCCATATTTCAGTATTTTTGGTACTTTCAGGCAACTCAACTATGAAGTCCATGGCTATCTCCTCCCACAGTGTAGTTGGGCTTGCCATCGGTTTCCCTGACAAGCACTTCATAGATGTGCATACAAGGCAGCTCGCCACATAGACTTCTATGTCCTTTTTCATGCTCAGCCATCAAACTTCTCTTTTTTATGATTTTTATGAACCCAAAGTGCCTTGCTGGCTGTGTATCATGGCTCCTCTGTAGAACCAAAACTCTCTGGCTGACTGGGACATACACTTTACTCCCCTTCCACGCTAAGCCTGCTTCAGCATCAAGTCACTCTTATGTTTTTGAAACCACTCATCCCCCCCCCCGGCTTTTTTCAGTTGCTGGGTCAACAAGTCTTCTCCAGGGCGAAGGGAGTTCTTCAGAGACTGCCTCTTGTGTGCTGGAGCTACAAGCTGTTTGGAGGGGATGATGGAATTAACTATCTCTTCTCTAGTGCTTCTATATTGAAGCAGGCACGAAAGTGTGTCTGTGAAAAAATTCCCCCTATGCCCCCTTAGAAATATCACTGGGTAAAGTTGAACCAGTTAAAGTACTGACCTGCTTAGGGGACAATTTCATTAGGACCTTCAGTGCTTCCATATTTTTGTGGTCTCGATGTTGCAGCTCTCCTGGAGGGGTTCAGGTTGGCTGCAGTAGTGAGAGCCAGCTAATGAATCCAAATCAGGAATTCTTGGGTCATTGTTATTCCCAAAAAGTAAACTTTATTGAATACACTATATTGGCACAGTAGAAGCGAAACCAGCTCTCAAGTTCTCTTGTGAAAACCCACATAGTTAAATCTAAAAGGGAATCCACTCCATCTCCTAAGAAAGTCCACTTCCCTAATTCCCAAGCAGTTACAATCAAAGCAAATGCATGCAAAAATGCCAGCAAGCCTCTTCCTCCGCCTTCCAACAGAATGGCAGGACATAAAATTGGGATAACTGATACTTGCGGAAAGTAGAATTGTTTTGCTTTAGTTAAAGAAATATCTGCTTAATACAATTAGGACTACTGGAACTGCCATGATGTTTTGTCTAACAGTTGCTTCACTTAGTGATAGAAATTCCGAGTCCAATTTAGGGTCGTTAAGTGAAGACTACCTGTACCTGGGTTCAAACTTTGTTTCTACTTTGAATTGAGGGGGAAGGAGGACTTAGAACATATTATTGATCACTCATTCAGCTACTACAGTATGAAGGCAATAATTCCTACTTACATTGTAGAGTTATTGCAAAGTTCACAAAATAATTTTAAAAGTGCAGTGTATTTTCTCACCATTAAAGCATAGTGCAACACATTGAACATGGAGATTTAAAAGAAAAAGAAAAATGGAATAGAAATCAAGAGTCATCAATATAATTCTTACGTTAATAGAATTTTTAATAAAAAGCATTGGTCACTAAAGCAAAAAGGATGTCATTAAATTGTTTAGATATAATATTGTGTCCAAATTTGGAATTAATGGGAATAAATGATAATGTGGGCAATGCCAAGTAATTCATAAAGATAAATTATTTTAAATATAGAAAAAGATCATTGTCTAATTTGTACATTAAAAGTGTTGCAGGAAAATTACTTTTTTCATGCTGATTTAATTATTATTCTAGAAGAAGTTTTGAACTTAAACATTCTCCCTCCATTTAAACATTGCATGCACACTTTGGTTCTTTCCCCATTCTTATCTTTTAATACTAGCTAAACACGAATAATTTTATTGCAGCATCTTGCCATCCATATTATTTTCTTTATCTTTTCAAGGCAATGCTGAATCCTTTGCTCGGAACTCCTATTACAGAGGATCACTGACCCAACGAAATCCAAATGGAAGAAACAGAAAAACAGATGAGATCTTCGCGGCAAGTATTCAGAATTTACTTCATGGCTTTCCTCCCGACTGAATAGATGGAGAAGATAAATAGAGGAGTCCATTACCTTTAAAAGCCAAATTCCAATAGAAGACCACTATTTTTGTAGGAGAAAGATATGTGGTAGTTTATAAAGAGGAGGCTGTTATTAATATGAAAACATGTAAATTAGACAGAATCCAGAATCAGACAAATGGAATAACAGCTGATAGCAGTATAGCATGCTTTTGCATCAGAGTAATCAGTCATATGATCTTATTATAATATTATATGTTATAATAATCATATGTAATTTTATAATCATACAATCCCAAGTAATTCATGCAACCAGATAACTGTATCAACAATAATTTTATCTATTGGCTGATTTCTTATTTTAAAATTGAAATATAAAAGGAACTAGCTATGGTAGAGCTAGCCTACTTGATTGGCAATTTCACATCTCTCGCTTGTTCTCACTCTCTCACTCTCAGCAAGATGCTGTTCTCCCAGTCACAAAAATATTCCTGCTCCTGCTTTTTCCGTTGTGTTTTTCTGGGGCAGTATATTTGCACCAGGGAGCACTCTTATTTTTTAAAACATGTGTACCTTTCAGTAGGCCTACACAGTTCACATTTGAAATTGGAAACATGACAAATCATAACAAAACTAGTTGACCCTGGATTCTGTGCACTGGTGGGGGCGGCATGTCAGCTGGCCTTGGTGGAATAAATGAGTGAGTTAGTCTTACTTCCTGAGAAAAAGTCTGGGTTGAAAATACTCTTGAATTATAATCCAAAGCAATGATCCCAAATCTTTCTAATGTCTTTTATTATTGATGAATATTTTTTAAATGTTACAGATAAGACAACCACTATTGGATTAATTCCTACAGATAAACATATTCTTTCATCTTACCCTAGTGTCTTTTTCTTCCAACATAATACATATACTGTATGTAAGAATCTCTGAAATCTCCTTATCATCTTTTTTCTCCTGTCATTACTCTGGCAGTTCTTTGGAATATTTTAGAGGCGAGCAGCAATCATCTCTTTTTTTCCACGAGACATCTGCAGCTAGAAAATGTTAGCCTCACTTTCTTTGGTTTCATGACATTTTACATTGTTCTGAAGCCAGTCAATAGGCAAACAGTGATTGCTATGAGCCATAGGAGCATCTAGCAGCAGTTGTGCTCAATCTGCACTGAAACTCCTAAACTTTTAAGTCTGTAAATGACATGGGGAAAATGTATGCACAATCTCAGTCCAGCAATTTTTATGTGTGATTGTTACTTGCTGATTTTGATTGGGATCCACCCAGAGCTGAATGGAAGATGAACATGTTTTAAGTAAGTAAAACTCCAAAGGTTCACATTGGTGTTTTGATACTTTACAGAAACCCGTGATGACCCATCGTTCTTGAAAACAATGGAACCTTCTAAGATCAATACTGCAAAATCCTGGCTCAAGTTTTGATTTTTGTTGCTTTTCTCTCTTTTACTTGTTTTATGAAAGAAGAAAATGGAACAAATTACATCTGAACAAATTACATCTCTGAGGAAGAATCCTATGACATTTGAGCTCTAGCTTCTCCAGCAGAGCAGTAGGTCTCAATGTATGTTATGGAATCCCTTTCTCAGCTTCTTTACATATTTTAAAAAGAACTTTGGCTCAAGTCCCCTCAGGGAAAAGGGCGGCCTACAAATTCTAATAAAACAAAACAAACAAACAAACAAAACAAACAAACAAATAAAACAAACAAAACAAGCATTTTTCTTTCTCATCCACTCTTTAATATATATATATATGACCAGGTGAATTGAAGAGATGTTTTCTAGGCCACTAAGCCCATTAGCTTTATGAGACCCATATATACATTTTGTATTGTATTTTTTTGCTTGAATTGCCCAAGATTCATGTCATGCTGCTATTACTAAATCATTGGATGGTAAGGAGAAGGGTTTGATTTACTTTACAATGTAGAAAAGCCAACCATTTCTGGAGATAGCTTGCACTTTTTGAATTAAACCTTCATGTTCTATTTGTTAAAAAAAAATTCAGAAAGACTTTGTAAGACTAATTAATTGGCCTAATAAATAGAGGGAAACAATTTTGTCTAGTTCAAACATAATTCTGTTGACCACTGGATTTTAAATCCGGGAAATTTATGCCATGATAACTATAGACTTCCCTCATTTTATGCTAGGGTTATGTGTCCCTAAAACCTTGCATAAAGAGTGAGAACGGAACCAGGAGTCCAGGGGGGAGGATTGTTGAGTATGGTGTCAAATTTTATAATCCAAAATGCATGAGTAAGGAAGATGAACTTGTCAGAGATTTGCAGGATCTGTTGCCTTGGAAAAGGGGGCTAAAGCATTTTTAAAGTCCAGAACAAGATAGCATTGGAAAATGGCTCAGGCAGATGCTGTATCTTCTTAATTCAAGGAGGAGGCATAATGCAATCAGACTTGCAAGATTCTGCTACTACAGCCAATTTCAATAAAAAATAGTTCTAGCCATTCTGTGAAGTTGATTTCCTGGTTTGGCTTATCTAGTGGGGCTGACATGCACAGACAAATGTTCTCATAAATATGTAAAGCCTTCTTCTTAAGTACCACATTACTTAAGGGTTTTCTTTCAATGTGCAATGGAAGCATACATCTTTCTTATAGCTGGATTTCATGGCAAACCAAGGGATAGAATGCATTACAATTTTTGCTAGTATTTTTCATTGTTTTATACACAGTAGATTTGCCCAGGTTAAAAGCTTGTCCTAGGACTGAGGATCCTTCACCCATTTCAGGGCAACATATTACAGATAGTCCTTGAGATACGACAGGCCACAATGAACTTTCAAAGTTACGACACCCAATGACACTATATATAACCCTTTTTCAAAGTTATAGTGGCTGCAGTAACCCCATGGTCATTCATCCTTATGAAACATCATGGGGATGTTTCGGTGCCTCCCACCTCTCTTCTCTCTTCATATTATATTTTAAATCTAGAATTATTTTCAAACTCTAAAATTTGAATTTCTATGCAAGTGGTGTGTACCAAATATTTATAATGGTGAGTTTCATATACAATGTATGAGGTGTCATGTATGAGCACAGACCTTCAGAAAATTAAGATATTACTGAATTCTCTGAAATAAAAAACTTGAACTCTTGTTAGCAACAGTGACCTTATATCAAGCAGTCATTGAAACTGTGAAGTCATTACTGTTCGGTATTCTTAGAATTTGTTTCATGATAGAAATGCAAAGTTCAGGCATCTTTTACCACAAGTAGTTGAGCGTCTTTATTCCAATGTGACCAAGAGGCATCATTTTGACTCTAATATAATTGTATCCAAACTATATCTGCAACATGTTTATTTAGGGCTGTGCAGTGCTTCAAATATGATTCCCAATGTGTTTTGGAGCACATGGGAATGCAAATACAGCAACTTTCTGCAACTAAAAGCCATAGGGTTTTTTTTAATCACATGTCTGCTTTAAACTGTTGCAGAGAGGTGCTATAATTATGCCTTTGGCCACGTAGCCTTTTGAAATCAAATCTAAAGTGTTGATGGCCCTGATATTTATGCCTTTGACAATTAGTTACAATGCATACCTATTTTATTAATACAGCTAAAGACACCCAAAGAAACTGAAAATGTGAGTTCCTATATCTGTTTATCTGATTAATGTTTTTTCCAAGCTGAGAAAGAATCTTGAGTTCAGACCAAAATTTCTAGTTTTCAGTGCTAATAAATCTTTGCTGAATTATTTTCAGTAAATAACCAAATTAGAAGGAATTTTCCAGTTACAGCTGTGACTTTTTAGTATCTTGAACTTTTAATGCCTCCTGTAAGCTATCTTTCATTACTATGTTCTCATCAACCGTTATGTGTCCAGATCTCTTCCAGTTAATGTAAATTAATTTCATTGATGCAATCAGGAAGAGAAATCTATGTTATGTGCAGTTTCATTCTTTTTTAAGGGCTATGTTTTCTCAAATAAAGCAATTCTGGGACAAGGGATTCTGAAGGATAAGATACCCACACTCCACATCCATACATATAGGGAGAACTTCAGTCCAAAGCAATCATAGCTACTGGACCCCTTAACAAAAAGGATTGGGTAACCCCACCTAATGCGTCCCTTTAGGCAGACATTATACTCACTCTGTACATCTTACACATCAGCTTTTATCTTGATTCAGAAATATAGCCAGGTAGCCTGCATTATAAATGGGATGGTTTGTGTTCTCTGCAGCAAAATGTATTGTTTCCCTTCCTCGCTTGAGAGAGAAGGGCTTTTTTTACCACTCTGATTGTCTGATTAGCTAGCTAAAGCCTTGAGATAAATGCTGCCTCAGGTCCATTTCTTTGGGATGTGGAAAGCACAGCCAATTAGCTCAGTCCTTGATGAGGGCAAATGTTAGAGAGCTTTTCCAGCATTTTCTCTGAAACTGTAGAGTAGATTTCCGGGGTGGGGGTGGGGAATTCCTTCCTCTAAGTTCTTAGCACTTCTTCCCTCCTGTGATGTGGAGCTTGCCACCATCACTCTATTCCCCAAGGGATAGGAGTTTGTTGCTTTCCTATAGAATGTGAATGTGAGCAGCTAATGGAGGGAGGGGTAAGGCCCCTTGCTGAACACTGGGAAAATCTTACGCTTGGGGAGCATTAAAGCCAGCAGCCCATGGAAAGGACCTTAACCAGATCCCTAAAAGTGATACTGCCATTCAATTGGGAGGAGGGGAACCTCAGAGTAAAATCACTAGCGTATCTGTAACAACTGAGTTTTACAACTTTACAACTGGTTTCCTGTCACCGGAAGACTGAAGGTCCCAATATCTGGAGGGGGGGGGATGTTTATGAGAGCCATGTGGGATAACTTACTTTAATGTCTAACTAGAGATAGCCATGGGAACATGTGTTTTATTGACTCTTAGGGCAGAAGAGTTAAGGAAACATCTTCACACTTGTGTATTGGTTAGAATCTGCATTCGGACAAAGGGGAGAGGTCATTATCAGCTTAATCCCATTTGCATTGCCTAAAGGGTTTGAGATGCTGCTTTACTTCTAATAGTTTCCATCCTGACTGGTTAAAGGTTCCTTTTGAAATAATCCATTTCAAGAGTCTTTACTTTCTCAAGTTAGGAGAGGAGCCATTACAATAAGATTGTATAACACCAAATGCAAATGAAAATAAAAATATAGAAATACATCATTTATTAGATGTTCATCTATTTCATAACAGGTTAAATGAGAACAGTGAAGGAGATAATTTCAAAGAGATTTAGATCATTTCCAAAATGAAGTGGCTCTGGTTAGAAGCCCCACAAAGTGAAGATAGAATTTCTGCAGTTTTCCAATTTGCTTTGGAGAATGGTTGCTATCATTATCACTTGTACTTAACATTGTTGTGAACCTCCTGTTATGAATTTTTTCATAGAAAGAAAACATCAGGTAATAGGGATAGTGTTGTGTACTACAGTTTCCTCTCTGGTCTGTTTGGCTAGAGGGGCGTGTCCTTGTTTCTGATTGGTTACCTGTTTGACAGCTGGGGTATATAAAGAGCTGTGAAACAGGGCTCAGCTGTTGCCAGTTAGCTAAAACGCACGAAATGTGAAATGCCGCATTTGGCAACCTGTTTGAAATAACTGTTAGGTGACTTGAAGCCCTGGCTCGCCTCTGTTTGTCTGACCGCGTTCTCCCAGCTAGAACATTGGCGACGAGGATGGGATTCCTCTGTGGCTGAGCCCAGGCAGAGCTGAGAAAGTCACTAATCAAAGAGCGAAGTCATTAGAGCTGAATTCCCTCAGAAGCGAGTCACTTCTACTACGAAGACCGATTTGGGGTTAAGCCAAAGGGGAGAAAAAAGTTACCTCAGAATGGCTTCAATGAATACATTAGCCAGTTTTAACCTGGCCACGCAGACTTGGGACTCTTATATTTCCCGATTTGAGTGTTTTTTAGAAGCCAACGGCTTTACTAACCTAACTGAACAGAGAAAGAAATCGTATTTTTTAAATCTGTGTAGCACGGAGATGTTTAACCTTGCAGAATCGCTAGTGGCTCCACACACAGTCCTCGATGTGACATGAGATGTTTTGATGACAAAGTTAAAAAATCATTATGCTCCATCAATTTCTCGCACTTCACGCCGGTTTGCCTTTTACAGAAGGTTTCAGCGTGAGGGAGAGAATTAATTAATATGTGGCTGCCTTAAGAGCTGTGGCCCTCCATTGTCGTTTTAAAGATTTGGATGAGTCCATTACAGATCAGCTTGTGTGGGGGGGGGGGTAGAGACCTCTGTATTCAGCGCCATCTACTGGCCAAACCTGAGTTAGATTTACAAACAGCTTTAGATGAAGCTAGGGTAGTAGAGCTGTCAACAAAATCCACAGAAGAGATCCAGAGGTTCTGTAGACCACAAGCCGGAGAAAAAGCCACTGAGGTGCATCATGAAGACATTTTCCCTGTTGAAGGGATTATTGGAAATGATGAAGTACATTGCCTGAAGGCGGAACAGGCCAGAGGTCGACAGGGTAAGGTTTTGCCCCAAACTACCTGCCCAGGGTGTGGAGGTAGGCACGATAGAACGGAGTGCTGGTTTAAAAATACCATTTGTCTCCGTTGTGGAAAAAGGGATCATTTAGCAAGAGTCTGCAGGGCGGCTGCTCCTTGCACAAATGCGCAGGAAGGCAGTTTCCCTAGCAC